TCGCAGATAAGACTCACTCCATCACGTGCACTTCAAATAGTAAATGCATGTGCGGTTGGCGAAGTGTGGGGTTGGTTTGTGTAATGTCAGCAACGATTACTGCTTTATCGGAAAAAATGGAAGCGAAATCGCGACGGTTATCCACGTCGTTGACTGCTCTTTTCAGCGTCCGATAGATAATACGAGCTAATTCTCTCTTGACACAGAATTTCTTTGAAGCAAATAACGATCTCTCCTGTGTCTTGTTTGAACGTGTCACGTCGTATAACCTATGGGATTGGGTGATACGTCGTTCTACAACTATGAATTTCCGCTTATGTCGCTGTTAAAAATCAAAAATAACGATGCTCTTTCTTCTTACTATTTAAGTATAAGATAATCGTGTTTATTATTTTTAATTTGAAAGTTAAATATTTAGAAGGTTAAATAATGAAAAGTAACAAGTGATTGAGCAAAATAGATATTCGGTTTGGAATTTTTCACGATTATCAGATAAATTTTCCTCTAGATTTTGACGCGTGAAATAATATTTATACGTTCTGAAAAGAATAAAGCATCGTAGACAGATATTTAACATTTGTACAATATTTTCAAAAACGTTTTAATTTGAATCTTTCAGCTTTAATATTAATATTCCATTAAACTAATGTTATTATTTAAATAGTAAATTATTGTATCCCTTCTTCCATTTTAAAAAAGAATTCACGAAAAAGAATATTTTTGAAATTCTGTTACCTACGTTTCGAACAACGATGTGACTCAAATTTGTATTGTAAGATTGTACCTAACGAATCATCCCTTCGAAACTTTCTCAAAGAAATTCGGTAACAAGTAAACGAATATTCTTGCAGGCCATAAATGCGTTGCTATTTCAATGTCATTCGTCTATTCTACGAACGTTAACCCATAAAGGCACTGACCCGAGTATATTCCAAGCAAAGCCGCATAAACATTAACGCGATTGATTCCTGGTAACTCGGCCGGCCTACATCCAGTCAGACGATATTGTTCACCCTTTGAGCCTCATCTTGACCGTTACTGGCAATCCGTTGGTCGCGTACCCTCTCACGGATGAGTTGGCCACGAGTTCCAGGGACTTCTAAATTTATAAACGTATTTTGAAGTGCGAGTCTTCACCGTGCTGACGCTAATAGCCGAATGTTGAGGACATAGAAAGATTTCAACATATTTGCAACTTTTAATCACTTCGATTCGATAGATTATGTGTTAAAGTGAGTATAATATTTTAACGTTGTGTATTAATTGGAGTGTTTGAAAAATTTGAGCGAAACGTTAGAGAAGATAAAAAAACATCGAAGAAGACAAGAAAAGAAAAAAAAGAATTTTTGTTTTGTTACGTCTATTCTCTTTGCGTTTTTTTTTCGTTTATTCGTTGTACACGCGACATTTACATATTTGCATTCTAGAATGCGATGCATTTTTAGATGGTTTAAAAGTTAAAGTTGATCCAAACATATGGAAGCAATAAAGAGTAAAAAAAATGTAGCAGATAAATTTAAAAGTTTGTGTAATATTAACGTGCAACTATCTGCGATAGTGCGAAGTGAAATGTTCGATAATTTTAAACTGTTCATATTTGAAAACTATGTTAATCGACTCGAATCCGTCACAACTTCTGAACTATTTATCGGTACTCCTGTGCGTGAAAAATTCGTCGAAATATCGTTGAAAAAAAATTCCGCTATTAACATTCTACATTAAATGGGGGATACGAACTATCTCCATCACTGTAAATTACTTTTGCATTTGAGATTTTCATTTTTTCAAAATTTTCATCGCTCTTGAAGAGCTGCTCTTCCGTTCCAAATTTCCCCAAAGTTGCAAAAGAAAGGTTTCGAAATGCTTGGCGATACTGAGGCAAGCAGCGTCACCCTGAGGACGAACCGACGAACTAGCCCCATTGATTTTTCGCGCGAACGTGCCGCCGCCACTGTCGTTTACCAAATAAGGAGAGGACTCGAACCGCGCCACTACACAACGCAACCCCTTACGAACAGCAACATGGCCGTCCGTTGAATGACAGTTGTTGCACTCGGTACGCGTACTTGTTGACCATCCCCGGCTTTCGACGTGCACCTGTCAGCGCCATGCATTCGCGTTCACGAGGGCGATCACGCCGACTCTTCTTCACGGTGAGTTCCTAAGGGAAACTCTTTTCACGTATCAACGAAATCATCTTTCGTATCATTAAATCGTGTTATCATCCTCTCTTCGATTTTCAATCTGCCGATTTTTCTGACTGTCTTGTTCTTCTTTTCTATTCGTTCGTTCGTTCGTTCGTTCGTACGACGGTGAATTCTCGTTTGAATTTTTACGAGAACGAGTGGCACGAGGCTCTTAAGCGAGTCGAATAGTTTGTTGGCGCGATTGATCGGCGAGGGAATCACGCCGCTTGGTCAAGAATCGTTTCGTTATGCCAGCGTGACGCGGAAACGATGATTGTTGTGCTCCCGCTATGATAATATTTCGCTTCTGCGTCGGATCATCGGCGGAATTTTCAACGTAAATGTTTATCTTCTCCCCTTGCGAGTTATTTTCGATTATATTCGATAACTCGTTGGGATAAGAAAGCGCGATCGATCCAAATCGCGTTAGAGAGAGAGAGAGAGAGAGAGAGAGAGAGAGAGAGAGAGA